CTTAAGGCACTTGACTGCTAACCAGAAGGCTGGCGGTTCAAACCCACCAGCCACGCCTCGGAAGGAAGATGGGGCAATCTACTTCTGTAGTAATACTGCCTCGGAAACCCAAGAAGGGGTCACTATGAGTCAGGTCCCACTTGATGGCACATAACAATAACAACAAAGTGTAACTTTTGCTTAAGACTTTGACCCAGTGACTTAATTCTGTACTTCTGCTTTGTCATTTGCAAAAAGAGAATGATAATATTATCCGGTTTACCTCACAGAGCAGGATCAAATGAGAGTGGTATTTACCCAATAACAATGCCCAGAAGGCAGGAAGGGACAGGAAAGAAGGAAGAATGGAACCCAGAGAAGAATTTGGGAACAGTGCTGTTACATTAAGGAGACTGCAACTAATGTCAGGAAACAAAATGTGCACAAATTATGGAAAGCTAAACTAACTTGCTGTGTAAATTTTCACTTAAACTATAATTAAAAACAGAGAGAGTGATGTGAAGGTATAAAGTACTAAACTGTACATAATAACTTTTTTATATAAGTATTTGAAATACGTTAAACAGGTTCTTGATCTCTCACAGTTTTCTATGTATTAGTTGTTGTTATTAGGTGCCATTGAGTCTATTTCAACTCATGCAACCGCATGTGACATTGTAGAACTGTATGATAGTTTTTTTTGTTTTCCATAACCCCCATAGAGTTTTCTAGATTGTAATCTTTATGGAAACAGATCACCAGGTCTTTCTCCCACAGAAACACTCCGTGGATTCAAACTGCCAATTTTTCGGTTCTCAGCTGAGTGGTTAACCATTGCACCACAAGGCCTCCTTCCATGTATTAGTACCAACTCAAATTTATTCTGTATGATTTCTGGCTGTAGCAACAGTGTTTCATTTACAACTCCCCAACATGTAGAGGGCCGCTTCACTACTCTGTAAGAGGAATAGAACCAGATGGGACTATTTTTCAGAAGTTGCAATTGCTCAAAGCAAAAATATTTCGATGTGAAAAAAACTGGAAGATTCAGTTATTTTATAATCATTAGAAAACAGATGTATTTCTGCTATGATCAAATTTCCCAACTCTATTTTCTATGGGCAAACTAAGCGTCCCTTTCTTACTTTTTTACTTAAACTTGCTGGTTTATTGACAAATATAATAATTTAAACGCAAGGGAAGTTATACTAATATACAATGTCTAGATACTTAAAAGCTAAAAACTTGCATGCTAAAATAACTTCTAGTTCCACATTATTTTTTCATGTAATAAGGCAGAATCATGAAATACGACACGATTGGTTTATGGATTTACTTTGCCAAAAACTTTTGTGTATCTCTGAAAACATTTCAGTTACAGCTGAGTGTTGAGTATATAGGTGTCAAATATCTCTATCACAAATGTTAATGTTCTTTCCTATGTGTTTCCAGATCCACATTAGGAATAAAATCAACTCCTCTTTGACTATAAAGGAAATGTTCATTCTTAAATGCTTTACAAATATCAAGAAATATACAAGTGCTGCTTTTCAGAGATGAACAGTGAGTCTTCAGTTTGAATGCCACTTCTCTTTTTGTTTATAAAGTCCTTCTCTTTTTTATGTGGTAAACAATTAAACTTCAAAACATAGGAGCTCTATCAAAGTCTCTAATTTCAAAGTTCCAAATGTGTTTGTTTTTGTTATTGTTATTTTATTACAAGTTTCAGGCACCATAAAGAAAGTTCTATAATTTTATTACATTAGTTATTTCTGTATTATTGGGGAAAAAAAATTTAAAAACCATTTACAAGGAGGTAGTAGTTCATGGAAACTGACTTCCATAACTGGTTGCTTTAGGAATGGTCAAAATCATCTAAATAGATGCACATTTATGAATCTCATTTAGTTAATGACCAATTTAATCCTAATCTGTTTGTATGTATGTGAAGAAAATGGAATGTTCATGGAATTATAAAATCAGAAGGTTAGTGAGCACATCCTTCTGCTTTTGATGCAAAGACCTCTTGCAAGAGCAATCAAAAATACAAGGTTCAAGTCTTTAGTCTACCAGCCAGTCTCCATGTGGGTTCATGAGAAAGTCACATAGCCTCTGAACATCAGTTTCTCATTTATAAAAAAGAGATAATAATGGCCTCCTTGTAAAACTGTTATTAGGAATGATTAGCATATCGTATATAAAAAGGCTTTGTAAACCAGAAACTTCTTTACAAAAATAAATTTAAAAATTTATCACAAGCTCCAGGAATCACATAAGAGATCCTACCCCCACCACCACCCCAAAAAAAGTTTAATATGTATTTCATGTTGCTGTTCTTTTTTTGTTTCACATGTTTTTGGCTAAATTTTTCATTAGGTTGTAAACTCCTTAAAGCCACAGTGCACACACCATGTCCTTTTTCTGTGTCACTCTCTCGATTGCACTTAACTAATGGACATTCAAAAAGCTCTGTTGACATTTTCCCTTAGTACTCAGTTCCAGCACCAAGCAGAGTCACTACTGTCAAAACGTATCTTCACCTATCCTATTCCTAAACTCTTCTGATGCAAATAATACTTATATTCTGTCTTCAAGGCTGGGGAGAGTGGCTGGTCCGTATCAACTGAACCAAACCCTTATCAACATTACCAAACTCTTCAGCTGAGAGACAGACTCCCTGATTCTCAATCTAAGTGTGCACTTTTGCAACCCAAAACAAGCAGAATTAGTAACAGGCTCAGCCCCAGAAAAAAAGGAAAAGTATCTGCTGGTCCATTAAAGATTCCTAGAGCCAAGGAGTTCCAAAGGAAAGCCTATCATTTCCTGGCCAAGGTGGAGAAATGAAGTATATCACCATTACATTAAATGGCTAGAGAAAATTGGAAAGAGACGAAAACAAGGACAATGGTGAAGAGGACAGACAGAATTAGGAGAATGTGAAAGTGAAGTCCCCCTAAAACCAAACCAAAACCAAACTTGTTATGTGCCGTCAAGTCGGACTTGACTTATAGCAACCCCTCCTTGGGTTTCCGAGGCAGTATCATTATGGAAGTAGATTGTCTCATCTTCCTTCCAAGGAGTGGCTGGTGGGTTTGAACCACCAGCCTTCTGGTTAGCAGTCAAGTGCCTTAGGCACTATGCTACCAGAGCTCCTAAACCAAACTTACTGCCGTTGAATTGGATCTGACTCATAACGACCCCTCCTTGGGCTTCCCAGGCAGTATCACTACGGGGTAGATTGCCCAACCTTCCTTCCAAGGAGGAACTGGTGAGTTTGAATCTCCAGCCTTCTGGTTAGCAGTCAAATGCCTTAGGCACTACACCACCAGAGCTCCCAAGTTGGTATTAGCTCCTAATAAAATACTTCAAAAAGCTGATGGTATGGTGAGGAAGAGAGGTCACCCTCCTTGGACTCTGGAAATTTGTCCACCTGGTGGCATAGTGCCTAAGACATTTAACCAGAAGATTGAACCAGTGGGTTCAAACCCACTAGCCACTCCACAGAAGGAAGACTGGGCAATCTACTTCCGTAACAATTTGCAGCCTCGGAAACCCAAAGGGGTCACTATGAGTTGGAATTGACTAGATGGCAGTGAGTTTGTTCGTGTGTTTGTTTTTTTGGGCTTGATCTCCTCTTTGCTTAAAGAGGTTCTTTATTCTTTAATGAGGGTTTTTGTTTGTTTTTAACAAACGGATCCTTTCCAGCACACCTTTTAGGTTTGCGGATACGTGTGGCTTTCATTTAACCACGCTTGGAGGGCTCTAGTAATCCTCAGGCTCGAGGTAAACACGTGTCCGCAGGCAGCTCCAGCGCGCTCTGCGTTTCAGCACCGCCGCTTCTGGATAGCGCCTTGTTGGCCTGTCAGGTCAGGGCCTGCGACGAGGTCCTCATCCATCTCCAGCCCACTCGCTCTCCCCTTCTCGTTTTTCTCAGCCTCGGAAAAACATGAACCCCAACTTCTAACCTCTCTTCAGTTCTTGCATTTAAAGTGACTTCCATATCCCTCCCTTACAATCTAACTGCGCACGCCCCCGCGACTCTGGGTCCTACCGGAGAAACAGCGAAGCCGCATAGTTTTCCCCACCCGTGATGCGAGATCTCCGACAGTCACAGACCACCTTTCCCCTGCCACAGGATCCCAAACTAGTAACCAGGAGCCCTGGCTCGCACCCTCTCGCTCCACGCCCCAAAGCTTTCAAGAAACAAATGCTCGATGATGCGCGCGCCCCCCACCCCACACGCACACACTCGTACACACATTCGCACGCAACAAGCCCTCCCGGTGTCATCACCGCTCTGGGCAGAGCCTCAGCCAACTTGGGCCGCGATCGATCAACACCAGCTCGCGAAGGGCCGCCCGCAGCGAAAGCCCCGCCCCCTCCCCTTCCTAGGTTGTGGGTACCCAGGAGTCAAATCCAGGTGAACACAGGGCCCCCACCCCATTCACCTCTCGCGGGCAACACACGGTCCAAGCCCCAGACGTTTGCCTGGGCCGCTCTAAATTAATCTCCTTGAAGCCCTAGTTTTTGTCACTGGTGGTCTGTGTGTGTGTGTATGTGTGTGTGTGTGTACGAGGCACAAACATCTTTTAACTCCTTCGAGCTTTCCGCCTATCCTAAACAAACAGCATACTACCTCCAACCCCTTCCTCCCTTCTCGGTGCCCCAACCTACAACCCCAACCGGGTTCCCGCTGCCCCAGTAGCCGCACCACCTCACTCCAGTTCCCGAGCGTCTGACCCCCACCCTGCCTAAACGACACTCACCTCCGGGCCCCTCCCCTCCCCCACCCCTGGCCCCCAGCGAGTCAGGTCTGGCCCGCGCAAGTGACGGCTCGGAAATGCATTCCGCTTCCCCTCGCCGGAGCCTGGAATAGAGGGGCTGGCTTCCCATCAGCGGGATCAGCCTGGGCACCGCTCTAGAGGGGCTTACGCCTTCTTGTTCAATCGCCCTGGAAAACACAGGTGCCGCGGATTGGAGAGGAGCGGAAGCAGCCTCCGGGGGTGGGCGGGAGGACTCACCGAACATCTGAATGTGCCCTTTAGTGATGGGATTGAAGCTGCCGCAGGCTAGCAAGATAACGTGGGTTTTCGTGGTCTCGGTCATCGTGCGTGTGGGCCCCTCGCGCTGGTCCAGGGGTCGCCTCTCTTTTTTGTGTCTCGGTATGTCTGCAGAGGGAGAAAGGAAGGCGAGGCTCCGGCGGTGGATGCTGTGGACTCCAAGGAGCCGCTCCAGACGCAAACCGCGTCACTCCCCGCCTACCTTTAACGCTTGCAATCCCGGCAAGATCCGAGGTAGCTTTTGTATTGCTCTCCTCTCTCTTCTGCGTTTGTTTTCTTTTTAGCTTCTTTTGCGTCGCTCGTCCTGGTTCCCCACTCCCCCCTCTCTCTGTCCCCATCCCACTTCATGCCATTACTCTTCCATTCCTTAGTGTTTATCTACAGTGCAAGACGTGGTACCCAAGCCCAAATCCATGAACATTTGGTTTCTATCTCTTGCTTCCATTTGAATTAGTTTTCCTCCCTCACTCTAATATTTTTCTGCAACCCTCATCTACTTTCTGTAACATTTCCAACCCTTCAAAAAGCATGATCTTAAGAATTGTCTTATTTCTCTTTTTTCCAATATTACATTTTAAGTTAGAAATTGTTCATTTTAGTGGTATTCATTTCTTTCTTTTTTTTCCCTTCTCTGATGATTTCAAACTATTGAACTGAGTTCAGATTGTGACCTAGGGGTTGCCAAGAGATAGGTGAACCTGAATCCTTTCTTGGTCCAGGAGGGTTATTGTTGTTGTGGATTGAAACAATGTTACCAGGTTGAGAGAACATGGATGGTGCAAGGTGAATAAAGCTGTATTAGACAACTATTGTGTGTTCCTATATAAGCTACCAAAGTTGACCAAAGATTGGCCCATTCAACAAGTGTTTCTTGAGTGCTCATGCTCATTATGTGTTAGATGCTGCTCTCAGTCCTGATGATAAAGTCCCTGTCCTCATCAAGTTTACATTCTATTGAAGGCATATAGACAATAACAAATAGCAATACAGGCAATGCAAAATGTAAAATAAGGTGATAAAACAGAGGGTGACTAGAAAAGAGGGGATCACTTTAAATTGGGTAATCAGGAAAGACCTCTCTGGGGAGATGACATTTAACATGAGAGCTAAATGACAAGGAGTTTCTGTTACAAATATTTGAAGATAGGTGAAGGCTTAGTAACGCACCCTGGTGATGCAATGGTTAAGCACTCAGCTGTTAACTAAAAGGTCAGTGGTTCAAACCCACCAGTGGCTCCATCACTGAAAAGACCTGATAATTTGTTCCTGTAAAGATTACAGCTTAGGAGACTTTACAAGGCAGTTCTACTCTGTCCCATGGGGTCACCAAAAGTAAGAATTGACTTGACAGCACACCACAACACCAAGGGCTCAGTATACTCATAGAAATGAAAGAAGACCAGTGTGGTTTCAGTGTATGAACAAGGAGAAAAATGTTAGGAGAGACGACTGGAGAAGTGATCAGGGTTAGATCAAGTAGGGGTTGTAGACAGGGATAAAGGGCTTGGATGCTTTTTTTAAAATGGAATAATTTATAGTGGAATAGCAGTAGGAAGCTATTGAAGCTTTTAAGCAGAGGAGTAACATGTAATTTACATTTTTATTTAAAAAAAAAAAAACTGGCTGCTAAGTGGAAAAGGACTGTGAAAAAGAAGGAATCGAAAGCATTTGGGAAGTTCTGGTGATCCTCTAAGGAGCTCTGGTGGTATAGTGAATAATGTATTTGGCTGCTAACACAAAGGTCAGGGGTTCAAACCCATCAGCAGCTCTGCAGAAAGAAGGTGGGGCAATCTATTTCAGTAAAGATTTACAGCCTTGGAAACACAATGGGGGTTGCTATGAGTTGTAATTAACTTGACTGTCAGTGAGTTTGGTTTTTTGGTTTTGGTGATCATCCACCCTCTGCAGAGTTGATTCTGACTCATAGTGACCCTCACTGGGTTTCTGAGGCAGTAAATCTTTATGGAAGATTGACTGGTTAGCAGTCAAATGCCTTAGGCACTATGAGACCAGATCTCCTTGGTGGTCATCTAAACAAGTGGATTTGAGCCTTGGGCTAGGGTTTATGGAGGTGGTGGTGTTGAGAAGTAGATGGTCCCTTTTGCAGATAGAATTTACTGTCTTTACAGATGGATTGAATTAGAGAGAGGAAAGAGAAAAATCTAGGAAGGTATCTAGAAATTTGGCTTAAGCAAATGAGGGGATAGTTGGTTCCATTGACTGAGAGGAGAAAGATGGGGAAGAGAGTATTCGAAGGACAAAATCAAGTATTCTATTCTGAGATAGTAAATAGAGCCAATGATTCTCAACTCAGAATTCCAGAAGTACAAATATTTACATTTCTCAGGCTTGAAAATTCTTGATTAATTTTTACTTCCTACTAGTGACTTGGTGGCAGAGCTCTGGTGACAGTGCCTAAGGCATTTGACTGCTAACCAGAAGGTTGGCAATTCTTACCCACCAGCTGCTCTGCAAAAGGAAGACTGGGCAATCTACCTCTGTAAAGATTTACCACCTCAGAAACCCAAAAGCAGGTTGCTATGGGTCAGAATCGACTGGATGGCAGTGAGTTTGGTTTTGAGTTTTGAGTAACTTGGTCATTGTTTCTTATCCTTGAGCATATAGTAGTTATGCAGTAAATATTTGTCAAATTTTGCTGAAAGTAAATCAACCCTAATATGCATAAAATTTCTAGTTTAAATACAAGATTCCTAAGAACTGGTATACATGCACAATGAGGTTTGTATCTTTCCTGGAAATTATATGGTAGACAGATTAGTGGGATAGAAAGAGCAAGGGTTTTAGAGAGAGGCAGACTTGGGTATGAAACTCTGCCAGTTGCTAGCTGTATGACCTTGGGTCATTAACACAATTATGCTGTTGTTAACTGCTGTCAAGTTGGCCCCAGACCCATGGTGCCCTATGCACAATGGAACAAAATACTGTCTGGTCCTGTGCCATCTTCATGATTGGTTACAGACCAGACTGTTGTGATCAATGATGTTTTCCCTGGCTAATTTTCAAAAGTAGATCACTAGGCCTTTTTCCCTAATCTTCTTAGTCTGGAAACTCTGCTGAAACCTGTTCAGAATCATAGCAACACATAACCCTCTGCTGGCAGACAGGTGGTGGCTGTGTATGAGCTTCATTGGCTGGGAACCAAAGCCTGGTTTCCTGCATGGAGGGTGAGAATTTTACTACTGAACCACCACTGCCCCCAACATAATTATAGTTAAGCAATAAATATTTATTGGGGATCTACTATGATCCAGGGCTCTACTGATTTAGGTGATGTAAAAGAAAGCAAAATCCTTCCTTTAACACAGTTTATGTTTTTGAGGAGGATAACAGACCATAAACAAATGAATAAATATACCAGTAATAGATACCATAAAGAAAAATAAATAGGATAAGAAGAAAAGAATGAAAGGGAAATAATCTTATTTGAAGTGGTATTTTGGTTTTTTTTTTAATTTTATTTTGATTTGGGTGAAGATTTACAGAGTAAATTCACTTTTCATACAGCAGTTCACATAATATACTTTGTCTCATGTCATTGACCAAAATTTACAATGCAACAGCTCTCCTCCCACTTTCTCCCCATAGCCACCTCTTCCCTGTGTCCTTCTTTCTCATGTACTCCTGTCCCACAAGCTGTCTCCCTGTGCATAAGCAGCCCTTCCTTCTCCCATGATTGTTCTCTCCAGGGCGTGTGTCTACTTGAGGTAAATGTTTAATTCACATGCCTGTACTTTGTTTAGCTGGAAACCACAGGTGTGGCTTCAATTCCAGACCTGCAGGGCAGCTAGGGGCCATAGTCTCAGTGGTTCCACCAGGCTCTATTGGACCAGCAAACCTGGTCCCCACCTTCTTCTTCTTCTTTTTTTTTTTTGCCTCCAAATGATTTTGAGTTTTGTTCCACATTGTTCTCCCTCTCTATGCAGGATCTCCTACATCCCTTCCAAGTGGATGACAGTGGTAGCCGGGCACCATTTAGTTCTTCTGGTCTCATAGTTGTATAGGTTGCAGATCGGATGGTGTACCAGTCTCTAGGACTGATTGTTTCCATTAATTTTGATTTTCTTCTTCTTGACGAGGAGAGACCCATTGTTGCATCTAGATGGCAGCTTGCTAGCTTTGAAGATCCCAGTCGCTACTCGCCAAAGTAGTAGGTGGAACAATGTTTTGTATAGTATGTTATGCCAATTGAGCTTGATGTCCCCTGCGACTATAGTCCCAAGCCCGCAGGATCAACTACTCGGTCGCTCTGGGTAGCTGGCTGTGACCACGCAATAACCTTGCCCCTTGTCAGCTCTACTATACCCCTGGGAATTCTGATCATTCACATAAACTTATAGGACCATTGTCTGCCAACCCTATATATGATCTTGGATACACTCCCCATTTAGACATACCTAATTGTTTAGCCTGTCCTCCTATCTATCTGTGTATTTTGGTTTTCTTATGCCACTCTGTGGTAGTTAAGTTTGTGTGTCAACTTGGCTAGGCCTGGTTGAGTGGCTGGGCATCTGAATGTAGTTATTCCCCATAGTGGAATCTACTGGGGCAGCTGAGTAGCTGCTTTAGGTATGTGGTCTGCTTCCTGTATATAAGAAGCAACTTTGGGAATGGTCTCTAGTTTATGGCATGTTTGAACCCTGCATGTAGCTGTGTTGTTGTTCAGCAGCCTGCCATGCTCTGCTGACCTTGGGACTTTCTATGGACTTGAATTAATGGCCTGCAGTGTGGTTTGGTAACATCAGGACTGTGCCTTTGTACTTGTCAAACTTGGGCTTGTCAGTCTCAGCAGCCAGTAGCTGTCTGAGTGAAGAAAATCCTCTAGCTCCAGTGGGCCAGGAGCAGGAGGCAGAGCTGAAGCCCAAGGTTGAGGGGCTTTAACCCAGCCCCCTAGAGCCTGGCACTTTGAACTTGGACTTCTAGCCTCTTAAACTGTAAGAGAATAAACTCCTGTTTGTTAACGCCATCCCATTTGTGGTATATTCTTGTCAGAGCTGTACTAGGTAACCAAAACACACTCTAACAGAAATACCACAAGTGGGTGATTTGAATGAACAGGAATTTATTCTCTTACAGTTTAGGAAGCTAGAAGTCTGAGTTCAAAGTGCTAGCTCCAGGGACT